GAGGGCGGTGGCGGCCGGGGCACCCCGAGCCTCTCCTCGCTGCCCTGCCTTCTCCGGCCCCGCCCGGCGCTGGGCGGGGTGCCACGGGCCTGCCAGGCCTGTCGGGGGGATAACGGGCCTCCCTGAACGAGGGTCACGTGGTGCCGGGCTGAGCCTGAGGCGTGTGAGTCGCGATACGGCCCTAAAACTGGCACAGGGGAAGGAACGTGGGGCTCCTGGTCCCCTTGGCTGAGCCGATGGGGACGTTTTGCTGGTAGTGGAGCTCTAATTTGAAGGTTATGTTGTATTTCAGCCTGTCAGAGATCACCGAGCTCAGGCCTTTCTGTTTGGGAGGGAGTTTAAGCTGGAAATCTGAGCATCAGCAATTACAGCGTGGCATGTCATCCTGAGGGAAAAAACATGGGTGCGTTTGCCTTGTGCAAACATAAGGCCTTTGGTGCATTTTCCCTGAGTGTTAATGCTGACAGGGGATTTGGTAACAAATGTCAAAAGAGCTAATTGTGTTCATTTGACCATGGCAAAACGGTAGAAGGAGTTCTGGATCGTTCTTATCCTGGGTATGAGTCCTAAGGGTTTGTCTTGCAGGAAACAGATGAAAGCTAATTAGATATATCGGATTTATAAACCGCACAAAGACAATGCGTCAGTTAGCTAAATCAATTTCTAGGCTGCTGTTTCAGCTGTTACCTTTTTCTTGTCTAGAGAAAGCTCACCAGGCATTCTGGTTCTGTCTGAATTACCCACGTGATCGCAGAATTCCCATGAAAAGGAGCTGAATGTAGATCTTTCTGCGTCGGGATTTTTCTGAAGTCAGGGCAGCGCTCTGCACGTCTGGGAAAGTCCTTTGAACGTTGTTTGGGAGTTTCTGAAAAGGGGGTAAGGATACTTATGGTTTTATTAGCCCTAAGTAAAAGCAATTTGATACTGCATGTGAGGAAGGTGCAAGTTATAACCACAAAAGCAAACCTTTCACAGATGGCTTGAAAACTACTGTTGTGCCACGTGGCCTGGCTTTGCAGGAGGAATGTCCTAAAGTATAAGTGAACTGGAATTTTTCTGCCTATGTGTTTGTCTGGTACATATTTCTGTCACCAGTAGGTGGCTTTCTGCCCATTTGCATGCATTGTTACTAGCTCAAACCCCAACATGCAAGCACAGCACTCTGAAATGGCCTCACAGAAGAAAGTCTGAGGCGCAATTACACTACTTTAATCTCCTGGACTACCTGACGAAAGAAGCGTTCAGTTTACCAAAAGCACAGTGAATATGAGAAGATAGCAATGTTCATATTACGGATTCATAAATTGTCCTCAACAACCAAATAATCTTATCTAACAAATTATGATGTCTGTGCGTAGGGATATACTGAACATAGCTTCCACCATATAGACCTGCTCATGTGCCCAAAATGCTCACTCTAGTGCCTCCTCGTTTAAAAAAAGAACCACAACAACTGAAAAAAGCCTGTGCCTTACCAAAAGGCTCAGAACCCATAAGACAACGGGTACCTTATAGCCACAATGTGGTAACAGAAGTTGATACACTTCTGGATGAAGGCTAGGTCTGAATCAAAGAAAGAATCAGGGGGGTGTAGGTCTGTGGTTCGGTTCTCGGTGAAAAGCCTGCAGCACTCTGAATGGCGCTGTCTGCCTGCAACTTCCTGGCCTGGGGATTACCAAGGTCCTCCAGAGCGTTCGCTGTAGGTGGTTCCATAGTGTGCTGGTTTTGGCTGGGATAGAGTTAATTTTCTTCCCAGTAGCTGGTATGGGGCTGTGTTTTGGATTTGTGCTGTGTCCTGGTTTCGGCAGGGATAGAGTTAATTTCCTTCCTAGTAGCTGGTACAGGGCTGTGTTTTGGATTTAGGATGAGAACAAAGTTGATAACGCACCGATGTTTTAGTTGTTGCTAGGTAATGCTTACACTAGCCAAGGACTTTTCAGCTTCCCATGCTCTGCCGACTGGGAGGGCTGGAGGTGCACAAGAAGCTGGGAGGGGGCACAGCCAGGACAGCTGACCCAAACTGGCCAAAGGGACATTCCACACCACGGGACGTCACGCTCAGTACAGAAACTGGGGGAAGCTGGCCGGGGCGGGGGGCCACTGCTGGGGGACTGGCTGGGCATCGGTCAGCGGG